AACTGTAGAAACTTTGCCAGGCAATGTTTTTTCAAGTGGTTTCTCAGAACTGTCAGCAGGCTTGTATTGAACAACAAAGCGCTCAAAGACTTTTGGATCTACCACCCACGACACCTTCATGCTCTCAGACGTGATGTCAGATATCACAAGTTCATTGGCAGAATCAGTTGGAACCCCAGACTCAGAAGTTATTGACACCTCCTTTGAAGGTTCGTGTGTGGTACTTATAGGCAACTCAACAACGGTTGGTGTAATGGCCTCATCGATGACTGCCGTTGGTAAAAGAGTTGATTTTGGTTCAGGCTCTGCAAAGTAAATGAAAGTAATTGTCAGCATAAGACTTACTTTTTCAAAATGTCTGGATTGTTTAGGTAAAGAAGAAAATATATTAAAACGTATGAAGATGTACCTGTTTTAGCTTGAGCCACCAGTGGCTTGGAGGGCTTTCCTCGTCTGAAACCAATGAGCTTAATGATATATTCAGTATCATCGCTCAAGTCTGTAAGATCAACTGTAGAAACTTTGCCAGGTAATGTTTTTTCGAGTGGTTTCTCAGAACTGTCAGCAGGCTTGTATTGAACAACAAAGCGTTCAAAGACATTTGGATCTACCACCCACGACACCTTCATGCTCTCAGACGTGATGTCAGATATCACAAGTTCATTGGCAGAATCAGTTGGAACCCCAGACTCAGAAGTTATTGACACCTCTTTTGAAGGTTTGTGTGTGGTACTTATAGGCAACTCAACAACGGTTGGTGTAATGGCCTCATCGATGAATGCCGTTGGTAAAGGAGTTGATTTTGGTTCAGGCTCTGCAAAGTAAATGAAAGTAATTGTCAGCATAAGACTTACTTTTTCAAAATGTCTGGATTGTTTAGGTAATGATGAAAATATATTAAAGCATATGAAGATGTACCTGTTTTAACTTGAGCCACCAGTGGCTTGGAGGGCTTTCCTCGTCTGAAACCAATGAGCTTAATGATATATTCAGTATCATCGCTCAAGTCCGTAAGATCAACTGTAGAAACTTTGCCAGGCAATGTTTTTTCAAGTGGTTTCTCAGAACTGTCAGCAGGCTTGTATTGAACAACAAAGCGCTCAAAGACATTTGGATCTACCACCCACGACACCTTCATGCTCTCAGACGTGATGTCAGATATCACAAGTTCATTGGCAGAATCAGTTGGAACCCCAGACTCAGAAGTTATTGACACCTCCTTTGAAGGTTCGTGTGTGGTACTTATAGGCAACTCAACAACGGTTGGTGTAATGGCCTCATCGATGAATGCCGTTGGTAAAAGAGTTGATTTTGGTTCAGGCTCTGCAAAGTAAATGAAAGTAATTGTCAGCATAAGACTTACTTTTTCAAAATGTCTGGATTGTTTAGGTAAAGAAGAAAATATATTAAAACGTATGAAGATGTACCTGTTTTAGCTTGAGCCACCAGTGGCTTGGAGGGCTTTCCTCGTCTGAAACCAATGAGCTTAATGATATATTCAGTATCATCGCTCAAGTCTGTAAGATCAACTGTAGAAACTTTGCCAGGTAATGTTTTTTCGAGTGGTTTCTCAGAACTGTCAGCAGGCTTGTATTGAACAACAAAGCGTTCAAAGACATTTGGATCTACCACCCACGACACCTTCATGCTCTCAGACGTGATGTCAGATATCACAAGTTCATTGGCAGAATCAGTTGGAACCCCAGACACAGATGTTACCGAAACCTCCTTTGAAGGTTCGTGTGTGGTAGTTTCAGGGAACTCAACAACGGTTGGTGTAATGGCCTCATCGATGACTGCCGTTGGTAAAGGAGTTGATTTTGGTTCAGGCTCTGCAGAGGAAATGAAAGTAATGGTCAGATTAACACACACTTTTTCAAAAGGTATGAACTGTTTAGGAAATGAAGAAAATAGATTAAAACGTATGAAGATGTACCTGTTTTAACTTGAGCCACCAGTGGCTTGGAGGGCTTTCCTCGTCTAAAACCAATGAGCTTAATGATATATTCAGTATCATCGCTCAAGTCTGTAAGATCAACTGTCGAAGCTTTGCCAGGTAATGTTTTTTCGAGTGGTTTCTCAGAACTGTCAGCAGGCTTGTATTGAACAACAAAGCGCTCAAAGACGTTTGGATCAACCACCCACGACACCTTCATGCTCTCAGACGTGATGTCAGATATCACAAGTTCATTGGCAGAATCAGTTGGAACCCCAGACTCAGAAGTTATTGACACCTCCTTTGGAGGTTCGTGTGTGGTACTTATAGGCAACTCAACAACGGTTGGTGTAATGGCCTCATCGATGAATGCCGTTGGTAAAGGAGTTGATTTTGGTTCAGGCTCTGCAAAGTAAATGAAAGTAATTGTCAGGAGAAGACTTACTTTTTCAAAATGTCTGGATTGTTTAGGTAAAGAAGAAAATATATTAAAACGTATGAAGATGTACCTGTTTTAACTTGAGCCACCAGTGGCTTGGAGGGCTTTCCTCGTCTGAAACCAATGAGCTTAATGATATATTCAGTATCATCGCTCAAGTCTGTAAGATCAACTGTAGAAACTTTGCCAGGTAATGTTTTTTCGAGTGGTTTCTCAGAACTGTCAGCAGGCTTGTATTGCACAACAAAGCGCTCAAAGACTTTTGGATCTACCACCCACGACACCTTCATACTCTCAGACGTGATGTCAGATATCACAAGTTCATTGGCAGAATCAGTTGGAACCCCAGACACAGAAGTTACTGACACCTCTTTTGCAGGTTCATGTGTGGTACTTCTAGGCAACTCAACAACGGTTGGTGTAATGGCCTCATCAATGACTGCCGTGGGTAAAGGAGTTGATTTTGGTTTGGGCTCTGCAAAGTAAATGAAAGTAATTGTAAGCATACAACATTCTCTTTCAAAACGTGTGGAATATTTGTGTAATGAATAAAATATATTAAAACATATTAATATTTACCTGTTTTAACTTGAGCCACCAGTGGATTGGAAGGCTTTCCTCGCCTGTAACCAATGATCTTAATAATATATTCAGTGTTATCGATCAGGCCTGTAAAATCAACTGTAGAAATGTGTCCGGGCAATGTTTTTTCTAATGGTTTCTCAGGGCTGTCAATGGGCTTGTATTGCACAATGAATCGCTCGAAGACTTTTGGATCTACCACCCACGACACCTTCATGCTCTCAGACGTGATTTCAGTTATGTGCAATTCATCGGCCGAATCGGTGGGTACTCCACTCTGCGATTCCACCAAAATGTCTCTCGCAGGTAAACGCGTCGTCGTCTCAATTAATTTAGTTGTTGAAACGTCAGCAATACCTCCTGCTGGTGTAAACAACAAAAAATGCCGGTTGATCCTTTGTTTTTTTCTTAACAAAACATCAATATTACATTGCTATATTTAGATCATTAAGACATTGTTATATTTCAAAGTTAAATTAAGCATTATGAAATAAAACATGATCCCTGTTTCAATTTGATTTACTCTCGATTTGGATGTTCTTTTTACTAATAAAGTCTTTATGGCTGTATACACTTGGCCAGATCATGTCTTTGCATCTTTTCGCAGAACTGTGCATCGGTTTGTATCATACAAGTAAACTTAAACTTTTGTTGTAAACAATTAACTTTTCACACGATAAGCTATTGATGGTCTTATATGGTCTCTGCTAAGTGTCTTAAATAAATTAAACATATTTACACATGTATTGTTTAATACATGTTCCTTTAAAATACATTTACGTGTTTAACATGCCCACGTTTTAAACTGTTCCATCAGTGGCGTCAATGGTTTTTTACATCATGTAACCAATTAGCTTCATGGTATAACCCGGGAAAATTGTTAAGGTCCATAAATTACGGTGTAGGGACTTGGTCCAGGTAGGCCTCTTCAAGACATATACAGTATTATGAATCAGAAAACGCTCTCAAGGGCTGATGAATGACGCATGCAATTATGAACGCAGGAAACATACGTAACTTTTATCAAGTGTTGTCGTGTAACTTCATGGATAATGTTACGAACACATCCTGAATTAATTATTAATGCGACTATTTAAATGTAGGGTTTTTATATACATTTCTTCAACTCAATAATGTTATGCAGTATGGATGCGAGGATAAATTCTGCATTTTATTTTGCAAAGGCAACAACTGTATTGCACATCCAATTAGTTTCATTAACAACAAAGGTATTATTATTCTTGGTTCTTTCGGTAAAGTCACGTAGAAGGGAAGTAATAAAATAATAAAAATATATAACGATAAAATTATCACGACGTTTCGACTGCAACACAAGAAATCCGCAGCAAGAAACATTTGAAAAAAAATTCTAATTTTTGGAAAAAAATTCAAATTTTTCTTGCTGTGGATTTCACACCTGATGATGATTGCTTGTGTTGCAGTCGAAACGTCGTGAGAATTTTATTGTTTTATATTTTTATTATTTTATTATTCCCCTTCTACGTGACTTCACCGAAAGAACCAAGAATATGAATCCCTGCAGTCACGAAAGCTTTAAATCAAATGTATTATTCTTTGGGTCTTTCGGTAAAGCCACGTCGATGGAAAAATAATAATAATACAAAATAAAAATATCACGACGTTTCGATCGCAACACGAGCAATCTTCATCAGGTGAAAAAATATAGTGGGAGAGCTGCCGAGGCAGGATGTTATGAAGGTTTGAGATGGGTGTAGCCCAAGGGTCATACGTGAAGTGGGCGGGGCTAGAGATGAAATTTGCATGCAAATGTAAGATCGGAGAGCTGAGCTACCTCTACGACGACAAAGCTGTAGAGGTGGCCATTGTATTGTGAGATATTTGCATGCCAATGTAAGAAAAAACGAGAGCCACCGCCACATCGAGGAAAACGAGCAACGGTGGCTGTGTTAGTGAGACATTTAGCCTGTTAATGTAAAGACATTTAACCTGGTAATGTAACTCAAGAGAGTCGAAAATATCTGCTAACATCGGCAGGTAGGATGTAAACATCACAGCCAGTTATGACTTAAACTGGTTAATAACGTCCTTCCAATGATTGCTCAGTTTGTATTTATCTTCTTCTCGGTCGAAATTGTGTTTGTGTTTATATATCTGGATGGCTTCATGAACCAATCTTTGCTGAAAGCCAGTGGGTTTGCAGAGTACCTTCGTCTAGGAAAAATCAATTTCGTGTGTGCCCACAGCGTTGAAACAATGATCAGCCACGGCCGAGGTATTGGTCCTACCGTGTTTCAGATCTGCCTTATGTTCACGAACACGGTCCGAAACATGTCGCTAAGTTTCCCCAATGTAACTACTGCCGCAGACACAGCTTAGTTTGTAGAAACCGGGGTATTGCATGTCAGGGATCACATCCTTCACAAAAGTATTACACGAGGTGCACTTGGTACATGCAAATTTCGTGTCCAGATTCAATACAATTTCGAGGAAATTACGTCTAATCTGTTTGGTTGAATCAAGTAATACCTTGTCTATAATTCATATTACAATTCTATCATGCCGACACAGTTGAGACTTGTTTAAACCAAGAATGAAAATGACACATGCATAGTATTCCTCTACTGGATTGAGATAATGTCAATTGTATTCATACATTTCATATACAACAAGCTCTTTAAAAGAACAAGTGATGTAACAAATACCTGTTTTAGCTTGAGCCACAAGTGGCCTTGATAATTTCCCACCTCTCGATCCGAGGAGTATAATGACATATTCTGTATCTTCATTAAGGTCCACCAGATCTACCGTAAAAACTTGACCGGGTATCGTTTTATCGAATGGCTTTTCCAGACTGTCACTGGGTTTGAATTGAACAATGAAGTGGTCGAATGTTTCTGTATTTACCACCCAAGATACTTTCATACTGTCTGATGTGATTTCCGTTATGTGCAATTCATCGGCTGAATCAGTGGGAGCTCCGTATTCTGACCGAACTGAAACTTCCTTTGAAGGGACATATTTGGTGGTCTCAGGTAATATGTATCCAGCTGTTGTGCCTGGTATTTGCTCGATTAACACATCTGGCATTAACGTCACCACTTTTATGTCTGCAAAAGATAAGTCATGTTGATTAGTTAATGCATACAATGATGGCATCAGAATTATATTCATGTAAATTTGTGTTGTTTATCTTTAGCATTGTAAAAGTAATAAAACAAATACCTGTTGTCACCAGCGCCATCAAAGGTTTGGAGGGCGTTTTCCGCCTGTAACCGATCAGCTTAATGGTGTATTCTGTATTTTCAGTCAAGTCTAGCAGATCTACCATGGAGACTTGACCGGGTAATCTTTTCTCCAATGGTTTCTCAGTACTGGCAGTAGGCGTGTACTGCACAATGAAATGGTCAAATACGTTCGGATCAACCACCCACGAGACCTTGACGCTATTGGGTGCAATTTCCGTTATGTGCAACTCATTGGCCGAAACAACGGGAACGCCTTCGGTCGACTCGATGGAAACTACACTTGGACGTAGCTGCGTGATGGAAGCGGGCAACTCGTATAAACCCGTTGTGCCAGATACTTCTTCCGGTAAAACCTTTGGAGGCAATGTAATCACCTTCTGTTTGCACTCTGTAGGAAATAAAAAAAAACTACATATATCAAGTGGTAAGGACAGGGAGGCAGTATGACACCGTGATTGTGGGCTCGCGGAGGTGATAACATTGACTGTGACGATGCCGACAATGATGGGATTGGCGTGAGGTGTCAAAACAGGGCGTAGCGACACGTGGCATGCGGGATGGTGGATGATGCCGAAAGCGGCGCCTCGGGACGGAACCGCCAACCGTTTGCTGGAATTTGACGGGAGAGGGCATCTGGCCTGGCTCAAGTGCCGTGGTGACGTCACCATCACTTAGTGGTCGAATGGCCTGGTATTGGTGGTGTATCGGTGGCCAAAGTGGAACAGCTGGACGTGACTTACCAAGTAGGATGTTAATGATGGTGTAATGAGGAGAAGGCGGGGGAGGGTGAGGCGAAATTAGGACATGGCCAAGAGACTCAGCCCTTGGATGTGTTCACGAATTATAATTTAAAAACATTCTCTATGTTTCGATTTAAAGCTTTCGTGACTGCATGGATTCATCTTCTTGGTTCTTTCGGTAAAGTCACGTAGAAGGGAAGTAATAAAATAATGAAAATAAAACATAATAAAATAATATAATAATTCTCTCTTATTTTTATTATTTTATTACTTCCCTTCTACGTGACTTTACCGAAAGAACCAAGAAGATGAATTCTCTATGTTTATTTAGATTATTTGGCTGCTATAATATTTCCACGTCATAAGCCACTTCAGTGAGCAATGATTTGTGGCCAGGTCGCGTCTGACAAAGAAGATAATAATAATTGTTTTTAGTAATTTTCTTACATTTTCTATACAATACACTCATATCGTGTTTTGTAATGTTTGTTGCTGTAACTTCCTGAACCTGCCCCTACTGGATATCTGTGAAAAAGAGCTTTATAGCTCGTCCGATTCCTGCAGTATAAAGATTCTGATTTTGAATTAGTGTCGTGTTAGAATAACTTGTGTAGCTTGAGTGAAAGTCACGTGATTTTAGTTTGAGGTTTGTGCACTGAATGTCAAAGAGATTGTTTAGTGAATAGTGAAGGTTTGCAGCACAAAGTATCATGTGCGTTTCGTAATTGGCACATGGTTCATGTGGCATTAGAATGTGTACATTGTAAACGTAGTGTAGTAGCTGTGTAACAACAGAATATGGGGATGTATGGTATTTACATTATTGTGTAGTGATATTATAAAGGTCTCACACAGAACTTGTGAGAGGTGTAGATTTGCATAACGGTATTGTGATATTCCCTGGGTACTCTGGACAATGTCCTGCATCATGAGTGTCTATTGTCATGTATCATGTCTGGCCTTCGTTTGTTTAACATGCGTGTGGGAGAGGGCTGGCGTGGGAATTGTTGATCTAGATAGAAAGGGAGCAACATGAAATGAGCTGAAGAAATGTCTTCCTGGTGGTGGCAATGAAAAGAGCTTCATGGCTCATCGGATTCCTCCAGTATAAATACAGATTTTGATTCTGACATGAGATGTGGGGGGGCAGAGTAGGAAATGAGTGAACCCAGTACATCCACAGCAATATGATAGATCGGCACACAACGCAACTACTTTTTGTATAAAGCTACGTATTTTTTACAATAAGCAACAATGGCAAATAGACGCGAAATATATATATTTAGATACCTGTTGTGACCCTCGCTGTAAGTGGGTTAGATTGCTTTCCTCGTCTGAAGCCGAGAAGTGCAACGACATATTCTGTGTTTTCTCTTAGATCCGTGAGTTCAACCGTAGATGCATGTCCAGGCAACGATTTGTCGACGGGCTTGTCACGAAGGTCAGCGGGATTGTATCGCACAATGAAACGAGTAAACACTCGGGGATCTACCACCCATGACACCCTCATGCTATCACAGGCAATGTCCGTAATGCGCATCTCCTCGGCTGCGTCAGTTGGCGCTCCAAAGGGTGACGGCACAAACATTTCGTGCACGGCCAGCTGAGTGGTGGTATCAAGAAATTGAGCAGTGACTGTTGTGCCAATAGTCGTTGCTTCAGGTAAGAGATCTGTCCCTGTAAGGTATGCAAGGGTAAAAGAGTGTTACACGTTTAACGTATTATTTTAAATATGGCACTGAGAATAAGTTAAACATTGATTGGGTCTTTCGGTAAAGTCACGCAGATAGGTTCAAAGAAAATAACATAAAACTACGACGTTTCGATCGCAACACAAGATGACGACCACTTGTGTTGTGATCGAAACGTCGTAGTTTTTTGTTATTTTCTTTGAACCTATCCACGTGACTTTACTGAAATACCCAAAGAATATGAATTCCTGCAGTCACGAAAGCTTTAAGTCAAGATTTAATAAGTGAACTGTTCATGGAAAGTACATAGATAAAAATGTTGAAAAATTACCTGTTCTAACTTGTGCCACCAGTGGCTTAGAAGGCTTTCCTCGTCTGTAACCGACCAGCTCAACAATATACGTGGTATCTTCCTTCAAGTCTGTCAGGTCAATTGTGGAAACTTCGCCAGGCAATGTTTTTTCGAGTGGCGTCTCAGAACTGTCCGCGGGCTTGTAGCGCACGATGAACCGCTCAAAGACCTTTGGATCTACGACCCACGAAACCTTCATGCTGTATGGGGTAATATCTGTTATATGCAATTCATCGGCTGAATCTGTAGGCGACCCATATGGTGACTGTACTGAAACTTCCTTTTGGTGTGCACGTGTGGTGGCGTCAAGTAACCCAACTACTGTCGGTGTTGCAGATTCATCAACAACTGCAGGTGGAGGAGTTGATATGTATTTGGCCTCTGCAAAGTAAATGAAAACAAGTTTAAATGTTACTCTCTCCGTTACAATCCAATTGTATGGTATATTGTAGCAAGGTAACAAAAATGTTAAGATATTTTAACAATGTACCTGTTTTAACTTGAGCCACCAGTGGCTTGGAGGGCTTTCCTCGTCTGAAACCAATGAGCTTAATGATATATTCAGTATCATCGCTCAAGTCTGTAAGATCAACTGTAGAAACTTTGCCAGGTAATGTTTTTTCGAGTGGTTTCTCAGAACTGTCAGCTGGCTTGTATTGCACAATGAAGCGCTCAAAGACTTTTGGATCTACCACCCACGACACCTTCATGCTCTCAGATGTGATGCTAGTTATGTGCAATTCAACTGCTGAATCAGTTGGAACCCCAAGTATTGATATCACTGAAACTTCTCTTGCCATCCACATCCCAGTGGTATAGAGTTCCTTATCAACGGGTGACTCTGTTGTGGTCTCAGCAATGGGTTTCAATTCTTTTTCTACCAAAAAACATTGAACGGTTAGTTTTCATCACTTATAGAACATTGACTTACCACGCATTCACTTTTCACGTTTAAATTAAATAATACTTGACAAATACGATTTTACAACAAAATGTACAAAACATGTTAGAAATAAATTATGTCTCGCCGTAACATATTTTTGGTGATGTTAATGTGTAGCCATGCCACTGTTTTATATTCGTACGAAGTTTTTTTGACAATAATTTTGAAGACAATTGTATTAATGGTGCAAAGGTGTGTGCGATAGGAATGAATTACCGAAAGTGGTTATGGAAAACGTGAAGCTTATCTGCAAGCAAATACTGCTGATACCTCCAGCAAAGATATACTGCCACGCAAGTCATGAAAGCAGAGAGATGGTGCAGCGATGGATGTTTTTTTTCAGTTAATATTCCCTGAAAAGGAATGGAAAAAGATGTCAAGGTATTGTATATATATGCAAGCGTTAACCCTTGGAATGTTTCCTGTGAAGCAAATGGAAATGGCGTTAGTACAAATTTGCAGATGGGATGGAATATTCCAGCAAGGCCATTCATACCTGTGGTCACCCTGGCCTTCAGAGGCTTGTAAACCTTCCGTCCCCTCGACGCCACAAGAGAGATCTCATACTCTGTGTTTTCGCGGAGCTCTTTGAGGGCAATGGTTGTCACATTGCCGCGCACGGAATATTCCGAGGGCAGTTCGGTGCTTCCGTACGGTTTGTATTGCACGACAAAGTGGTTGTAGATGTCGGGCATGGTCGCCCACGAAACCGTCATGCTGTGCGGCTTGACGTCGTAAATCTGCAGCTCTTTCAGCGAATCAACTGGACTTGCAGTGGGAGTTATCACCGGCCTCTCTGGGAGATATTCTTTTGTATCCAAATCGGTTGTTTGGTACCCTTTGGTCAAATAGGACAAGTTTAGAGACGAGCGTCAGTATTTTCATTAAAAAAAACAATTAAACATTAATAATGTTTCAAAAAATGGCCATTCCATCCATACAAATGTCGTTTTTTTTTCGATGAAATCATCCTCCGTTGAATGCACACTCAGCGAAACACCATTTCATCACATCATTTTCATGCAAGCTCGATCTCTTCTTCGTTTCCTTTACTTTGTATTCGTTGCTGTAGGTGCAAACTGACACGGTGCAGTGTGCCCACAAATAGCGTTTCCGAGCCACCGCAGTTGATGACATGTCCACTTTTGCTGAGTGGGCAGTCACAAACTCCCATCAACCATAATTTGTGTGTTCAGATGTGGAGAGTGGGACAGGTGGCACAGGCAATAGGGTTGTGTGTCGTACTGCATCGGTGCAGTGTGAGCTTTTATGGATGAGTGGTCACCACAACATTGTGATTGGGCATCTTACCATGCATTTGACGGTTTAAGAACACACATGCTACCACATTTTAGCCTTCCCTGCACTGCATTGTACGTCAGACAAATGTACACTCAACTGAGTTCGGTTAACTCTCTCTCAGACTTGGCAACACCTGCTAGGTAAACTATTTAAGAACGAGTATACTGCACGCTATAATAACAAAACGTTTGCAAGGCAAAAATCAATATCAAGAAGTATCGTGGTCAGTTCTGCCGATGCTACCAAAACTCAACATCTGATCCTTTTGTCAGAGCAGAGCTGCTGCACAGTTGACAACCGAACCTCTTTATAGAGACAGATTACCCCCCCCCCCACCATCCCCCAAACAATCTAATAGTATCCACATTACCTGACGACAAACTTATCCTACATTCACTCGTCGATTTATTTCACTGACAGTCTAGCTCGATTGCAAGAATACTCTGTTAACTGGCCATTTTTTTAGACCAAACTTCACAGCAGGCCATTGACATTCAAGAGCCACAAACCCAGACGAATGTTATTTCCATAATTACATTGCCCGCACTTCCGGTCAGCACGGTTGGCTAGGCACGGTGCGAAAGAAGTTCTACGTACATATATTTTAGGCTGCGTCATCGGCACGCAAATCTCCGTAAAATTAATTGCAACAAAAAGAAAGAGAGAAATGCACCGTTTCAGGCACTGCATTCTTCAGTCCCCGAAGAAGCTCCCAGCACGTGGGAGCGAAACGAAAACGATGCACAACCCCGCTCAACAACACGTGGCACAAACCGAGCACGTCAACAACCGTTCAACGCGAGCGCCGCGTCCCGACCGCCGCTCACCGGTGACGAAGCTCTGGATCTGCTTGTCGCTCATCTGGGGGCCGCGAACGGAGTGCAGGGTGACGGTGTAATGCACGCCCGGGCGCAGGCCCTGCAGCGCGTGGTCCGTCACCGTGGGCTGCAGCGGCACCTCCGTCTTGCGAGCGCCTGGTCTGGTCGGGCCGTAGGTGAGCACGAGGCCGTCCACCAAGGCGGACGGAGAGGTCCAGGACAGCTGCGCCGTGGTGTCCTTCACGTCATCCACCTTGAGATCCTTGGGGCTGTCGATCACTGGGGGGGGGAGGGGGGGTCATGTATTTTAACGCGTTGTTTTCACCACCCATGGGAATCTGCCTTAACTGGCCCGGAAGCAGCCTAGTTCTGTATCAAAAGCGGCACCCAGAACCTGCGTCTATGTCCTTACTCTTCATGAGCCATAGATGGGCTCAAGACTAAACTAAAATTGTTTTTTTACCAGGTAAAGCCGACTTAGCTATGTCGCTCTTTTTCACAAGCGACCTGGCCACAAATTGAAGCTCTACAAAGTGGCTTTTCTCGTGGAAATTTCTAGCAATCAAATACTTTAAATAATCTGTAACTCATGTTAGTTTGGCACGACGTCCCACGTCTCGCTCCACGTGCTTGGGGAGCTTGCGGCGACGAAAACAACTTCCTGAAAAATCCTGGGTCTGAACCTGCGTTTTTCGGCCACCGCCCACTAAAAAAAAAAAGTCCCAGCCCATGGGAACAAAACATGGGGCATCCGCGTCTTACAACACGCGGCGCAAAACGTGAAAGCACAACGAGAGCAACACCTCCAGGTGCGCTTACAGGTGCTGAAGAAGGACGTGGTGGGTTGACTCTTCTTGTTGTCCTTGATGGCCACCAGGGAGACGTCGTACTTGACGCCAGGCTCCAGACCGGTCTGCGTGTGGCTCGTCTCGGTGCTGCTCAGCGTCGACAGAAGTCCGTCTGGGGTGTCCTGAAATCACCATTAGGAGCGCGTCGCTAAGCTAGCAACGCGACGGGGGAAACGTGCGCGTTCAGTCCGTGACGCGCCACGGCAATGCGTGATGAGTTGTGTGTGCGATATATATTTGTTTGAGTTAAAAACGGTCCCATGGTTGAGATGGAGTAGTCCCCGCTCCTGAACCTCATTTTGATCCTCTCTGAAAGCCTCACCGCCTCTTCTTCATCACCCATTCCCTCTTCCCTCCCTTTGCCCCTCCACTTCTTCTCCTCCCTCCCCTGTAGCCCTTCCGTGACCCCCAAGTAACCCTCTATTGGGGTCACTCATTCCTCAGCCCTTGCACACAACCTGCCACCTAAATCACTCCGTTATGTTACCGCTTCTTAAAAAAAAACTACTGTATATTAAAAAGCTTATGCCAAGGGCGCTCTTTAAATAGGAAATAAGATAAGAGTACCATTGCCAAGAACATTTGGTATCCCTGCAGCATGTGTTTCGCAAGCCTGACTCTGCTGATGAGGCAAATAAAATGGAAACCGCTCCAGAGTTCACTCGCTAAAACAATATTGGTCGCGAAAGCCAATCGGCCGTTAGACTAAATCTTTATTTTACTTGTAAGTTTTATACACGTGATGGAATTCTCCTTGTAAGTGCTTTTCCGAATGAGCTATCATTGCAATGGTTGGTATAGTAGCCAACTGGACAGACAATTGGGCTTAAGAGGGTGGTGATTACAAAGTAACTGGTGGAAAGCCCGACGAAATCCGTTGATTCCCCCTACTTCCACACACACACACGCTGTTGCTCCACAGCAGCGCGTTAAGATTTTAAGACATCGCAGCAGTGCTGCTGCGGTGACCCACTTTACTTCAGTGACCCGGGTGCTGCTGCGGCAGAGGTCGCAAACGGGTTTTGATTCCTTACCCGTACCCGTACCCGGCCGCACCAGGGTCGCAATCGGGTACCCGTACTCTACACGGCTATCCGTACCCAGCCGTATTGGGTAGGGTACGGGTACCCGATTGCGACCTCTGGGATGAAGTCATGTTGCAGGCGCGGGTGGATTGATTCTAGGAACTTGAATTGTGAGAAGAGACAAGACGTTGGGAAATGAGTGACAAACGTTTACTCACCAGTGACTCACGGCCTACCGGTACCCGTACCCGGCCACACCAGGGTCACAAACGGGTACCTGTACCCGTACCCGGCCGTGTACGGGTAGCCGGGTATCGGGTAGGGTACGGGTATCGGGTACCCGATTGCGACCTCTGTGCTGCGGAGTCCACTTTCTGCCCCGCCTCTTCCCCCCTTCTCTCTCCTCCCCTGCAGCCGAGGCCTATATAACCTCGTGCCACGGCAAGTCTCTCGCCTACTTCAGCAGTTGTTTCTTGCTGTGGTTGTCTCACCTGATGACGATTGCTTGTGTTGCGATCGAAACGTCGTGATCTATTATTTTTCTACCTACGTGACTTTACCGAAAGAACCAAAGAGTATTTTAGGACATCATTGTCCGACTAGGCCGGTGAACAAATCACCCAGAATGCACTTGACCTCGTGACATCTGAGAAGCTAAGCAGGCTTTGAGCCTGGGCAGGGTGTTGCGATGGGCGACCACCAAGTACACCGGGCGGTGGTCGAAGCGCGCCTGTAATCCAGCACTGTGGAGGCTGAGGGTTGGTGGACCAGATAAAGGTTGCGAAACTTCCTCCCCGAGGGCATCGAGGAGGTGCCATACCCTGGTTCTGCCGCTCAGCAAGTGCGGACTAATATCACCTGTCCCTTCTGTTTGGGATAGAGTGTTTGCCCCCTTGCATGCATAGGTTTTCTCAAGGCGCTCCCTGGTTTCCATCCAGATGTAATAAATTTGTAGAGAACTGCAGTGCAATTGTTGGTAGCAAGCCTTCCAGCTCGTGTCTGTGGTTCCTCAGCGATTCTGAGATGCAATTTGCATGAATGGCGCATCCTTTTTTAATGGCGCATCCCTCTACTAATTCCCGTCCTCGTCCTTAAAACCTTAACCATTCTCCCCCTTCATAAATCTCGCCCCTCCCTTTTCCTACCATTATTGGATTGTACTATGTGCTCTGATGTCTATTCTTCCTGCCTTCTTCAGAAACCCCATCACTGACCAGCCTGGTGAATCATGGTCGAGTAACATCTTGGGCCCACAACGATATGGGGAGGCTCTCATCCAGCAGTGGATTGACAAAAGCTGATGATAATAATCGTGAATAAAGGATAATCCACTGATAGACACCCCACTAAAGTACGTAGGCAAGCGTGCTAAATCGTCGGTGTGCGTGGGTTGTACTGCTTGTTGTTCGGCAAGCTCCTTTCGATCCACGTGCTGGGCAGCTTCTGCGGTTCCTGAAGATGCCTCCGGCACACGGGGTGAAACGTCGGACGTCGTGCCCAACGAGCACGCCGACGCAAACGACAACACAACAGAGGGCTTGTGTATACAGCACGCAGCCACGGACACCAACGCAGCACGTCCTGAGGCAACCTTTGTCAGCCGAAACGGCACCCGTACTCGCCGTTCGACTCACCTCGGACGTGAACGTGATCTCCCAGCTCTCGACGGGGAAGGGTAGAGCTGCCCACCCCACCTGCACTGAAGACTCCGTGATGTAATTGAAGGACATTTCTTTGGGGCCGATGAAAGCTGAAAACGGAAAGACACAAGCGCTCACATTTAATCTCCACAAGGTCAGTGGGGGGGGGGGGGGGGGGGGCGGTCGTGCGATGTGTCGCTTGTTGCGGAGCTCCGTGGTCTGAGCCACTTGGCCGACCCTGGTTAATACTGCGGGCGTATTGAATCGTAAAAAAAAATATGCGCGCCGTCTGCGTGACTATTGTTTAAAAAGGAAAAAAAAGGCCACTGCGTGCCAGCAGCGTCTCGGTCCACTTTTTGTGAAACCGGCGGTGAAGTACTCAGAACAGAGTAACATCCATAGCGGTCGTTGCCCCCCGAATGTGAAACTTAGCAGGGACCTTCTCTGAAAGAGGAGCCTTGAAAATTCGGTGAGGCTTTTCTTGGTAAATGAACGTTGATAATAATATGGTCGCATGGGGTGGAACGGTGGTGCAGCGGTTGGCAATCTGTGTCATGAAACCCGCAAGGCAAGTTCGATTCTCAGCCACGGCTAGCATCAGTGGCATGTGATATCTGAACTGTTCACCACAGTGCTTTGACTATCATGGTGAAGTATAGTCAAACAACCCATGTAACTGACATGGCATGAATTGTTAATCGGTTGTAAATTATTCAAAAAGCTTGCACATTTCTTTAGGTTGTAGGCTATGCATACTTATAAAAATATATTATTTATGCAGCGTTACGTTCATGTGATATTTTATTTTACTACATGTACGGTGTATACGTACAGCCCTTTTGTCATTCCACTGCTGGATGAGGGCCATCTTTGTATTACGAGGGTTAAGAGGATTGTTTGACCATGCTTCATGACGCCGATCAGTGGGGGTTGGTGAAGGCTGAGAGCCTAGATGCGGAAGCCAAGAAGTATAGTACAACAATGGATTCTACTCCCCAACCAATAGCCCCACTGCCATATGCATGGTGGAAGCCCATCCATGCACTGTCCAGGCGCGAAACCTGCTAAGATTCTGAGACCTAACGAGATCACGTGCAATGTAGGCTATTCACCAGAGGGTATGTAATATATATTACGTAGTATCAACTAATATGTTGCTCATATCACAGTATTTACAGGAAGTCATTACAGTTGTGAGAATCGAGTAGCAATGCTGACAATGCGTTAGCACCATAACTGAATGACAAAAAAAGTCTTAAAAGACAAATAATCCATGTGGAACTCTCGCTAAGCACTGCATTGTCACGTGACGGAGAACGGCCCATATAAGGAGATGTTATAGAACTATTTCTGAGATTCCCTCAAGTGACCACTTTCATCTACAAGAGAGATGCTGTACTTTCCCACGTGCCTTGCAGGATAAATATTTGTCTCACGGCAGTAAAACTGTCATTTTTTTTTATTAAAATAACAACTCGCTACACGGGTGGATGAGACCCATGTCAAACCCAGGATCTCAGCAGTTAGGACTCATTTCTAGCGCAGAGGTACCAAGTGGCACATCGAATATTTCTCAACTTCATCTCTACAGCACAATTGACGATGTGCACCATGACACCCAAAACAGTGGTTGGGGGGGGGACCCCATCTCAACGGCACGGCAACGCAAACGCCGATGCACAAACACAAAAGCGGGGGTGGGGGGGGGGGGCAGTCTCGCGGAGCTCACGCGTGCTGCAGTCCTCCCCGACGAAGCCTTTGTCGCAGACGCAGATGCCGTTGTCGCAGAAGCCGTGCCCGTTGCAGTCGTTGGGGCAGCTGAGCACGCTGCACTCGGGGCCGGTGAACCCCGGCTCGCACACGCACCTCCCGGCCACGCACTTCCCGTGGTCGCTGCAGTCGTTGGCACACGCTCCCCCCTCGCCACAGTCCTCGCCGCCATAGCCCCTCTGGCAGACGCACCGTCCGTTGACGCAGCGGCCGCGGTTGTTGCAGTTGTTGGGGCACCGCGACTCGCGGCAGTCCTCTCCCGAAAAGCCCCGGGCGCACAAGCACTTGCCGTCGACGCAGCGGCCCCTGCCGTTGCAGTCGTTGGGGCAGCCCGGCTGGGAGCAGTCGGCGCCCACGAAGCCCCGCTCGCAGACGCAGACGCCGTTGACGCACACGCCGCGGTTGCTGCAGTCGTTGAGGCAGGTGGCCTGCCCGCAGTCGGGACCGCCGAAGCCCTCCTCGCAGTCGCAGACGCCGTCCACACAGGTGCCGCGCCCGCCGCAGTCGCTGGGGCACGCCGGCTGGGAGCACGTCTTGCCCGTCCAGCCCTTGTCGCAGACGCAGCCGCACGACTCGGTGCTGAAGGTGCCGTGCCCGTTGCAGGGCGACGCGATGTCTGTGCCACCTGCAAAAGAGGGTGGGCACCGCCGTTGGATGTTGGGTCGAGTGAACGGAGAGTCGGAGACTGGCGTAGGGGTTGGTGTAGAAGCAAACTATGCAACTGTTGCCGTTGCAATGGACGCTGTTTGATAACAGTTAAAAAATATACGGCAGTTGGCGAATGTTTTGGTAAAATGACCTTCTGCTGCTCACTGTGGAAAAGGGTCATGGAACTTGTGATATATATTTGCAGGAAAAAGGCAAAATGTCACGCAATTATCCCTTTCATGAGTAACTGAAATCACAAACATTTGGTCAAAGGTTTCGTGCAGACATTTTAAAACCTAAAACTCTATGAACATTTACTTGAGTGTGGTATTCATTGGCCTAAGTAGCCAACAATTTCAGTGGAAATTACGTGGCGCTAATGTTGAATAAAACAGGCCAAAAAAGTAAAAAAAAACTACTAGTTTACAAAAATTACGAATATACATTAGATTGTTTCGTCACATTCTAGACAATGCTAATTATGAAGGCAACAAAATATAGAGTCAACCTTTGCCGAAAGGAGTATATTTTTAAGTTTTTTTCCCTTTTCACAGGCTTTAAACCACATTCCAGCCCTGCGGTTTCAAATTTACATGAATGTGTTTTGGCGAACATTTCTCTGGTTACTTTCATTACTTTTTCGTGAAGGTGAAATAGAATGGGGGGGGGGGGGCGATGATGCCAGGCACATGGTGACAACGAATCCCAGGGCAGTCCACGGAGTCGGGTAGCAGTGGTGGGGGGAGGTCGTCTAATTGAACTTTTAAAACTATAAACTCAACTATTTTTTATTTTGCCAGGTAAGGCTCGCTGAGCTATGTCGCTCTTTTTCATAAGCGACCTGGCCACAAATGATAGCTCAATGAAGCGGCCTTTTCGCATGTGGAAATTTTATAGCAGCCAAATACTCCACAGGAATATTGATTTGAAAAACCGGAGCACCCAAAGAAAAAATGCATGCGACCACGGAGAGAGAGACGTGCAAACTCCATGTATACAGGCGTGAGGGTCAAGATCGAACCTGCGACCTCGTGTATACCAGGCGGGGTAGTTAACATCTCGCCACCGCGAGATTTTAACTGTATTGTTGATCTGCCCCATTGAAATTGGACAACGCATGACGGACCTACGGCTCCGGGCGCTGCTCCGCAGCACGCGGCAGAGGAGCACTGCTGGCGCAGCGACGAGATCTCCTGCTCCATGAGCTCCACGCGCCGCACGAGCTCCCGCAGGTCGGGAAGCCCCTCCGTGCTGCACCCGCACGCCCGCTTGGGGATGCTGATGCGGTGCGTGAACACCACCTGGCCGCCCGTCTCGTGCGTCTTCTGCGTGAAGGTGCCCAGGTCTGACTCGCCGCCGCCGATGTCGCCGTCGCCGCTACCGCTGCCGACCACAGACCTGGAGTCGAAGCCGGCGCCGTCGGGGGGGCCCGCGTCCAGGTCGACGGCACACAGCGATCCCGGCGGGACATTGATGTTGTACACGTGGTGGAAGACGATGGGCTGCAGCTGCTGCTCGTCCGAGCCGCCGCCCAACGTCTGGTTGCGGTGCGGCAAGTCGTGTGGTGCGGCGCCGACGCTGCCCGGCTCGTGCCGGTGCGTCTCCACCGTCATGCTGGCGGCCGACGCGCTGGCTGCAAGTGCCAGCAAAATGATGGCGGCCAGCGGCGATGGAGTCTTTGGAAGGAGGGCCATGGCGCCGGCCGAGCTGGTCGCTCGACGGCGCATGGAGGGGGGGCGGGTGAGGAGGTGCGGTGGTGACGGTAAGCCTGGCGAGGAGTTGCACTGGAGTCTCGTGCGGTTCTTCTTATCTGATGTGTCGGAATGAAGAAGAATCGTACCGAGCCTGCGAATGAAATGACATCAGCAAAATTACTATGAATGCCGCTCTTGCGTTTAGCCCACAAAAAAGGTTCGAGGTGCCCTCTAGCCGAGCCACTTTTCTAGATTTTCGAAATCTCGAAAATGATGGGGAAAGTGCAGCCCTGCAATTGCTTGCTCTGAGCGCTGCTGGAAATAGGGATTCCACCAGCGGGAGCTCTAGAGAGATTATCTCGAAGGTATTTAGCGTTCCATACTGGTCATACGCCTTGGAATTGGTGGGACTACCCGCACTTTACCCCACCACACGTAATCTGCCAATAGACAAACTGGGGTGCACATATTTTTACTGCTCAGTGAATAGAGGTGGTGGGTAGTTAAGAAAGTGGTACCATTACTGTTGTGCTGGGAGACCAAACCAGCATCCTCTGGAAAACAAATGTCTGTTATATTCAAATGATATTAAATTGGATTTAAAAATATGGCAGTGTACAGATTTTTTTTTTACCTGCCACACACAAATGCGAGTGAGACACTTGTCGCAAATACATTGCTGAGTTTCCCCGCATTCTCAAATAACTTTGTAACAATTTCAATAATAAAAAAACCACGTGATTCCAATGCTGTCACATTTCAGGGCTAAGCTATGACAACAACAAAATAACACCAGCATATTATATAAATGTTTAACATGAGGTATACTGGTGCCTCTGGGACCAGTCCTCAAGCCGCCACTACTAAGAGCTTAGGACCAATTCCAGCCTTCGACCATCCATGAATAAACTGGGTTTTGAAGTGTTATGAGTTGATCATCTTAGCCCACTCACCAATGACCATCACGTTAAATTCAGCTCTGAGATGAAACTAATATAAATTGGCTGCCATGTGACAATTTGCTCGAGAGTCGGGAGTGCGGGAAGATGGATATCAAATCTCTCATGAAGAGATCTCAGATGTGGTGGCCTCTGCTTCGGATGGCCATTCCCTAACACTCAGGGTTCTTCTTTCGCAGTGAGTGGCGTTGATACATTCATGTCGAGGCGAGTGAGTGAGCCAGTGGACGGCCTGGTTGACGGTGACTTATCAAAGCGGGCTGCTGTAGTTGGTGTTACCATGTGGTCCGTGGTGCGAGACGTACAGGGTGGTGTGTCGCTCAGCGAGATTTCAAATGGGACACGATGTCTCATGCAATAACGGCAAACGCGCAAATGGAATATAACTGAGAAAAAAGTATTCGCGCGATCTCAGATGCCAGCATTTCAGGTGCCACGATAAATACAACAGACGCATTTGTGTCTCCAACACAAACAAATACAAAATGATGTTTGCTCTTATGCCACGTTCCCACCACGTTATGACATTCAGCGCGAGAGCTGAGAAATCACACGGAGTGTACACACTCCGCTTAAAATGTACTACTGCTGAAATGAACAATACGGGGTGGAACGCTCTCTTTTGAGTTGTACATCTGTACGTATTTTATTCACAGTTCCCACGCACGCACGAAACAAAGATCCCCCATATGACCTTCACAGACTGTTCGGGCAACTGCTGTGAGCGAGCACCACGCGCGCGCGCACACACGTGCTGGAAAACCAACCACCGCATTGCGAGATCCCACGTGGCATGCACGTGCAAAGTTACTGCTTTCACTTCTAGGCGCTTCGAATAGTTTGTTGAATACGTTAAATCAGGGGTCGGGAACCTTTTTGACTGGGAGAGCCATAAAAGCCAAATATTTCTAAATATATTTCATTGAGAGCCATATAGTATTTTTAACGTTTAATAAATTAAATATGTCTTACTTTTAATGCGACTTCTGGTGCTGCATGGTTTTGCTGATGGCCTTGTAGTCTGGTTCATACGTGGTGAGGTTGAGCTTCATGCAGGCGTGACCCGTGAAATTTATCTTCAAAACTAATTTCTGTTTACTTTAAAATGACACAGTATTATTAAGCAATATCACAAGTATTTTAAAATCAGTTCCAAACTGATTTTTTGTTTTTTCATTATTATTATTTTTTTCAACTCAAAATTGTCTGGGAGCCATATGCCGTCACTGGAAGAGCCATATATGACTCGCGAGCCATAGGTTCCCGACTGCTGCGTTAAATGAACGGCAATAAATCATTGTCACTCTGGTCCCTCCGTGATACGCACGTTCTCCTACCCTCCCACGTCGTACTAGGCACCAACACCACAGTGATCTGTCGATTGAAATCGATTATTGTGCTCGCGATGCATCGAGTGAGAACCGATTAATTATAATTCGTGAAAATCATTATGCGATTATGTTAAACTAAACTTGTTTTTACCGGGTAAGGCCCACTGAGCTGTATCACTCTCGTTTAGAAGCCACCTGGCCACAAATGATAGCTCACAACTAAGTGGCTTGTCACGTGTCAATTTATAGCAGCCAAACACTCTAAACGCATGTTTATTCTAAATGTGGAGGAAAAAATCGGAAGCCCTGGAGAAAAGTCCACGCGTCCATGGGGAGAGAGACATTCAAACTCCAAATATACAGCAGGCGTCAGGGTCTGTGGATTTAACTCACGACCTCCTGTATACCGAGTGAGGTAGTTAACATCTCGCCACGTGGGTACAACGATACTAACGATGCGCTGCAAGTGATATGCTAACAGTCGTTAAATAATGCAATTTATTGACTCAGAAAAGCCTCGCAGAATCTCAATGCTTTTTTTTCCACAAGAGTATCGCATCGGGGTTGCTTGGCCAATTAGAATTGGTGAGGGAATGGAGTAACCAGGGGTAAACCCCTGGCATGCATACCGCACAAACAGATTCAACACACAGGCAAACCAAAGATATTAAGTCATAATGTAGACTCCAATAATAATATTAATTAAAACAGCTACATCTCAGAAGCGAAACGGTTGGTTCTAACTGGACCTTGCTTTCATGGCCGACATGCATAACAGGTGTTATAGGCCACATGGTTAGTAACACAGGGCGGTGCAGGAAAACACTGGTCAACAAAAAATAATTCTGGCCTGGACTTTTGCAGCTGTTTTAGACTAATTTCAGGGTGCTGATTCCAAATATGATCTCAGATTTGCTCTATCACATTATTTTTATGCTATCGGTATACCCCATTTTCATTGATTTTACCAGAAATTAACTCTGTCACTTATGATTGCAAGTTGTTGCGAGTCAGTGACTGCTTTAGTGTTAAAATATGGTGCTGTATTTTTATGATAGTGTGTTTATAATATCATTTTATGTGGATATCCACATTTATTTAATATTTTAATCTTCTGCAGTTTTTATTGAAAATGCAATATTTGATATCTCAAAAACCTGATGTGATAGACAAAAACTGATGCCAGATTTGGAATCAGCACCGCAAAATCACCTTAAAACCGTTGGAATACCTTATGCCAGAAAAAGTGTGTTGCCCAGTGAAATCCATCACGCACTTCTGTGGTCTCCCACAGCTATGCTCCTCGTCATCACCCCGGGGATCCCTCATCAGTGCGAGCGGGTCGACAAAATGCCGTGAGCCTATGGAAGTGGACCGAGTCCATCGCCGAACAGCACCGCCAGGCATCGGCAGTCACTCGCACAAACAACCTTCCCTAGCTACCGGGGGTTCCAAGGAAATTATGGGCGTCTTCAGGGTGATGTCATGTTTTGTGGGATCAATGCTCTTGCCCCTACGCCCGCCAGCCTGCCCGCCCGCTTGCCTGCCCATCAGTGTGAGGTTTACATTCCTTCGAGCACTCGTTCAGTAATATTTTCCGTAACGCAACGCACGCTTAATGCGCACGCTGGCGTGGCCTCTCGCATCTGCATAGAGACAGATTAGCCAAACAAACTTTTATGTGTGTGTCTGGAGGGGGGGGGGGGGGATTGGATATAATCCCAAATTTCTTCTCTGTTCATGTTTAAATGCCTTTATATATAATGTTTAGGCATGACATCATGCCCTATTAGTTATTTCCAATACAATTTTCTTTTGAGATTTTTTTTGCTGTTGTTTGACCTTTACATGCTGCTTTGGCGTCACGGTCGGCAACACCACCGCAACTTACGATCCAGCGGTTCGCAAGTGCGATTCAAACTCCTCGCATGGCAGTTTAAGCAATGTGGCACGTATTGTTTAAAATATATATCTCCAGATCTCACTACAAGGCAGTTTAAAGAGCTGCACCTTAGTTCGTTAATTAATTGGCATGTCAAGTGTCATGGGGTAAAGTGTGGGTGCTTAGACCTCTAATAATAACGATACTTTCATTTTATTTCACGCCATTCATGCCAACAGCATCCCACAACGCTGTGCATTGATTTTATATATGAGGACCAAATCCCATACAACATGGTTGGCTACGCACGGCGCGAAAGAAGCCCAACACACACACACGTACATACCAAGCGAACGAAAACTTTACGACTACCCAGCAAAATAAAAAATGAATAAACAAATTAAGAGTTGGCACCAAAACAAAAATTACAAACAATAACAAAAGGTTATCACAGCCTTTTGCCAGACATCTGGCCGGCATGGAAGAGTAGGCCAAATACCCTTTAGAGCACCCTCTAGTTAGAGGGAGGGGTTTCTATCAGCAACGGCGTGATCAAGCAATTTGAAGGCGGCACACCCTTTACATTTCCCCCCATTATTCAACATCCCTTCAGGTTACCGGCAATTCACGTGTCCACTCCTGCACCACGTGGCAACGTTCTCCGAGCGCGTTGCTGGGCCGGCGAATTCGAACGCGGCGCGAGAACTCGCGTATTTTGTCGCACGGAACCCCAATATTTTTTGTCAAGCGCAACACGCCCGGGGCGCGCACAACGGCAACGGGTGTCAGGCGTCAACGTCAAACGGCACGATGACGCCGATGACTTACGAAAACCGCGCGCGCTTTCAAATGACACCTCAAGCATTGACATTGAGGTTTACTTGACAGGAGGCATACAATAAACGTGCGCTAAGAGCATTTGGCTGATCTTCTTGTTGGTTCTTTCGGTAAAGTCACGTAGAAGGGAAATAATACAATAATAAAAATAAAACAATAAAATACAAATCTCACGACGTTTCGGTCACAACGCAAGCAGCCGTCCTCAGGCGAAGAACAGGTCTGTCGGAAAGACAGCGTCTGAATGAACACCACCAAGCTTGGCAGCGTATATTTAAGCTTTAAATCGAAATTTAAGCATTTGGCTGCTATACATTTCCACGTGATGATAAGGCCACTTCGTTGAGCCATCCTTTGTGACCAGGTCGCTTCTGAAAAATAGCTATGTAGCTAAGTGGGACCTTACCTTGTAAATAAAAAAAACATAGTTTCGTTTTAGTTTACATAGAGATAATCTGCGTATCGCATGCCCGGTGAGTTGCTTTAGCGCTGAGAGTTAGTGGGGGAGGAGGTAGAATGAGAGGGGGGGAGGGTCAAATAGCAAGGGA